CTTTCTTTTTCTTTCTTTCTTTCTTTCTCTGCTGCCCCCTGACTTCCCCCAAAGTTTATGGTGATATATTTTATATAAATTAAAGCTATCTTTAGATAATATTGAATTTAATACTGGTACATCAAAAGATGAATTAATGCTGTTTCACTCAAGGGCTGGAGATGAAATGAAGACAAAATCAGGCCTAAAAATATGTCAAAGCATGTTTAGGCTGTGATTAGGTGTCAGTGAGGGAAAAGCCTGAGGGACAAAGCAAAAAGCAAACAAAAGATGTCTCGTTTTTGTGTATGCTTTGGCTGAAGCTAAAAAAACAGCTATGATTTAGATGGATTAGTTTCTATTAGGATCATTTCATGCATTATACTTCCTATGCCTACCTTTTACATTTTTAAAATCGTGAATAAGACAAATAAGAGGATTGGGTTGTTGCATTTATTCACCTCTGAACCAGGCTGGTGCATTATGCTGACTGCCAAGCACTGGGTTGTTGCAATGTATAGTGGGATAACCCTGGTGTATCAGGCAGGAAGTGACAGATTCTGTCAGCTTCTTAATTAAGGCTTTTGAAAGTAGTTTTCTAAGAGGATGAAGAAGCTTACTCTTTTCCAAGGAGGGAGTTTATTTGGAATGGAATCCCTTCCTCCCAAAAGTGGTTTACCAGGAGGCAACCGGACTTCCTTGTTTTTCTTTGAAGACGTTTCACTTCTCACCCAAGAAGCTTCTTCAGCTCTTAACTGGATAGTGGGGAATGGAAGGATTTATACTCCTTGCAGACAGCTTGTCATTTGCATTTTTGTTAGAGAGTTGTTGAGGCCACTTGGAGGTTTATTTGTGTCCTTAGGGTCACCTGAGTAGTACAAATGGTTATGGAGCCTTGGCTACACAATGTTTTCTGCCATGTGTTCCCTTCACTGTTGAAGATAGGTGCAGGCTGTTGGGGATGAGTCTGTGTTGTCTACATCTCAAATTGAAGCACAAATGGTTCCTATAATCTGCAGTTTTTCTGGAAATCCATAGATCCCTTCCTCCAGGGGTGAAATGCTACCGGTTCGCACCCGTTCGGGTGGTGCTTTTGGCACGCACTGTGCATGCATGCACTGTTCATGCGTGTGCGCAGTGCGTATATGGTGTCCGCAGAGGATTTCACCACTGCCTTCCTCCCTTCTCAGAATTAAAACTTGATCTGTCCATCTAAAGAGTTTGCCCTTGTACTGGAGTGCAAATCTGTAGTACATTCACTAGTTACAAGGATGTCTTTTTTGCACAACTTTGATTTTCAGGTCATATTACTTGACTGCAGTGCTAGGTCTGCTCTCCTGTCCTGCTACTTTGTAGTCCATCTAAATACTCTAAAGTGTTAGAGCTTTTTCCTGATCTCTTGGCTTTGGTGTTGAGGGGCGTTGAGGGGAATGTAGTGCAATACACCTGCAGTAGAGGAAAAAAGATATGTTATGGCATCAGCAGCAGGATATTCACAGGGAGAATGAAAAAAAGGCAAGATGGCAGCTGTAGCAGTGAAAGCAAAGCCCTGTCCATTTATATGTGCATATCATGATGACAAGTACAAACGGGGTGGGTCTTTGTGCTGCCACCATCACCATCTTGGTTTTATTGGACTCTCCTGCAGATGCCACTGCCTGTTAATATGGAAGAGCTACTCATTTTTGTACCCATTTTTGTTCAGAACTTTCTGCAGACATGAGTGATTCAGATTTATCCAATTTATTTAATCTGAGCTTTTCATAACATTTAGCAGCAATGTAGTGGTTTATCTTTTTATCTGATAGTAGATGTCAAATTGCTTCATCTGCTGGCTGCTTTATTGGTTGTATTCTTCGTTGTTTTTGGTAAGTTTTTTTAAAGTGGTCCAGAAGATTTCTAAGCAAGATATATATACTGATGTAATGACTTCCATGTAATGCTTCATGAAGCAAATGAACATGCATTGTTTTGTTAGCAGCACCAAGTATCATGTTTTTATATTCAGTTCATTGTTATGACCTGGTGCAGGGCACGTAAGCAACACCTGCGATGCAAAGGATGGAATCCCTTTTTATTAAACCAATCTTTCCCCCAAACCCTACACCTCACTGTAAGCCCAAGAGCAAGACTTTAACATGTACACACACCTCAAGCAGTTCCTCGAAGCAAGAAGAAAAAGAGAGCAGCACAGTTCTGAGAACAAAAACAGTTCAGGACACTTGGTCACGTGCATCGTCATTGCACAGAGTGTTTGCTGGGGCCGTGGCACAAACTGGAGCCGAGCTGGGTCATTGCAACCCGCACACAGCAGGCAAGGCAGGGCAAGGCAAGCAAGCCGAGCAAGGCAAAGCAAAACAAGGCAGCGAGTCATCAATAACAGCAAGGCTTCTTGAATTGTGGCAAGTGTTGCTGGCATGTACCACGCTTGATTCTGACAAAAGCCCATCCCCCCAGCATCTCCTTAAATCCTATTCTCCAGGTGAGCCTTGTGAAGAGGCGCGAGGTGCCCTCCTCCCGAGTAGTCAGGTTGCCCTGCACTGACTCTGTCTCCTCTCCATTCTCCACACTCGAGGATCCAGTGGGGGAGGCAGTTGCTCATCTCCAAACTCTGATGCTTCTCTACTCCGCTGCCTGCCCTTTCCATCTCCTCCCTCCTTACTCGGTCATCCTGTGTCCTCTCTTCCTCTCTGGCACCCCTTCCAAGGCCCAAGGGATCCGGGACAGCTTCATCCTGCTCCTCTGGTCATTACTCCTGGGCCAGAGAGGTTGCGCCCTCTTCCTCCTTCAGCCCCAGCTCCATTTCCTCCTCTTCCTCAGAACCGGGCTCTGACGGGGCCATGACATTCATGTTCAACTGAGCAAAACACCCATAACCTATTACTGACAACTACAGAGATGTCAGTTCATATTTTTTCTTCCAATTTAAATTATTTGAGCATTTATGAAACTGTATTACATCTTAAGGATATAAAACATGTCCCCTGTACAGTTACCCTGTATTTGTCTGTGACCTTTATTGTAATATTATAATCTCTTACTGTGTTGGCAATTAGTTGGCAAACTGCAGTGTGGTTCTGAATTCATCTTGGAGGAGGAAATTTCATTTTCATGTCAGCTGGAAAAGAAAGGGATGAGGTGAAGAACTGGCTGAATGAACTCCCTCTTGTGGGGAACCAGCTGCATCTTCTGGGAACATCTGAGCCTCAAGTGATGGAGGCGTGAGATTCTACCAGCATTTTCACCAATATTTTGTACTCTGTCGTTTCTGAATATATTCAATATTCAATTAGGCTTTTAAATGTTAAATGTGCAGTGAAGAAAAAACTTTTCATGCCTATCTCATGATTGCATATGGCTATCTGTGGGATAAGAAAAGATCAATTTAGCAGGAATTTCTGACTTTCCCTTCTCCCTGTTTGGCTTCAGGCCCACCCATCTACCAGTTCAAAAATAGACAGCTGCTTGATCCATGTGGGAGGGCTGGCTCTGTGAGGCTGGGAATGAGATGACACAATAAGTTAATGAGCCTGCTAGTGACTTTAAGTCATTGACCTATAGGGCAGGAACTGAGTAACTCCCCCCCCCCCATTGCTGGTTGCCATTTCTCACTTCAGTTTCTCTTCAGTCTCTTCTGTATTGTATTTCCAGAAAGGAGTTCCTCTGTAGTTTATTTACTGTCAATAGTGATCATTTCCACCCCCACCCCCCACCCCCAATCACAGCAGATATGATCCTTCCTGATTGAAGATCTTATCTGGTAGCTGAGTAGAGTATCCCACTGACTGATTAGTGCTGATCCAGAATGAGTACTTAACAATCTCTTAACTGTTCTGTCCTTAGAATCATAGGTACACTTTATTATAGTAATTGACCAGCTCAAAAAAATAAAATAACAAATTGTGACACAGCAAATATCAAACACAGCAAAATGCAATAATTATAAAACTCATGAGGTCAAACATGAGAGTGGGGGGGAGGGAAGAGGAGAGATTCTCACGCAATACAACACTTGAATCTGTTGGAATAGTTGATCTCAACTGTCAGAGTTAAAAAGATGGTTTGTGATAATTATGATGGACTGAGGATGCTAGTTAAGAATGTAATGGTTGGTGAAATGGCCAACCATTGTATTCTTCAGGATCAATTTGTTCTCTTGAATGTGAGCCAGAATTTGAAGTGATTTTCGTTGTGAAGGCTGGCCCTCTACAAGTGGCTTATCTCCATAGTAACATTACTTTTTGCCATATATAACTAGGAAATTCATTCTGTTTTCCTTTTGGATTTTTACATACAGTAAAGGGTGAAGCATCTTTTACTATAACTTAAAATTATGTTGTATTATTATGTAAATATGATTATGGAACCCCACCACACAATGTCTTGATTTTTAAAACTCCAGGTCTCCCAGGCATTCCTTAGTTTTTAAATATGAAATAGTCCCCTCCGATATATGAAAGGAGGCAGTGCATATATTGATAATGACCATTAATCTCAAGTGGGATATGCAAATTGCAGGAGTAAGTTTATGCTTACAAGTCCCCTGCTCTCAATAGTCAATGCTCCACTGAATTATGTAGTAGTATTCTTTGATATAAGCAGAGTACAGTGGGGCAAAAATCTGCTCTTTGCTCAGAGTTCTTTTTTAAAAGTGAAATTCTTTAAAAAACTAGATTCATAAGTGATCTCAGTAGATTAATCAGGTAATGCAGATCTATTCTATTTTAATGCTCCTTGCATACCCATTCTTCTTGTTGATTCACTTTTGTTTTTATCTGCTCCTTTGCTGTGTGTAATGATTTAGTAGCAAAGGTACTGCCTTTATTAGTTACCGTGCAGTAGTCCCAGGATATAAAATGTAAAGCTAATAAGTGAAACAAATGAAAAGAAGGTCCAACATGCTGTTCGAGATACAAGGATGAGTCCTAGCGCCAAGGAACTAGAAGAAGGACATTGTGCAAAAGCATTGTTCATTTTTGCCTGAGTCTCATTTCTCACTTGTGGGCTTTGGTCTTTTTCAGATCCGCTGGCTCCCTCCCTCAGAGGCTACTTCTCAGGGCTGGAAGTCCCGTCAGTTCTGCTGAATCCTGTGTGAGTAGAGCACAAGTACCACTCGCCAGAGGTTCCAGCTGATCACAAGGGCTGTGGCTTCTGTTTTTTGTGGTGTGTGTAGGATGAATGTCTGAACTTGTGATTACTCTCACCCTTGCAGCTGGTCCCTTTCCCCTATCTCCATATATCTTCTCTCTGAAAAAACACCCTTTGACAAGGAAGGAGAACTCTCTTATGCAATTTGGAGGGGACAGATTTGTTGTCCTATGGCATAAATTTATTATTAGTAATAATAATAATATTAATGTTATTAATATTCTGGAAGCTCAAATCGGCATACACCGGAGTCTTCCTAATTGTTAATTAAAAGAAACTGCCGGGACAGAGTGATGCTTGAAAATCATGATGTTCAAGTGAGAACTGGACTATGCATCTCTTCAAGTCCAAGACCAACACCTTAACCATTGACTTAAAATGAATTGGCTGAAATTAGAAGTTGTAACACCTTCAAAATGACATTTTTGAAAATGTCTTGTACATTTTTTTCTCATGGTAAAAAAAATGGGGGAACAGGGCAAAACCTTATTTTAAACATAATGTTATTAATCAGTTAAAAATGGATGTAGGAACGAGCTGAGCTTGCTGACAGTAATAAAAAAATAAATTATAAAATTATAAATTAAAGGCCCTAATCATGTAGGCTAATGGGTATTTTTGGAATGTTAAGGCCATTGCAGTGAATTAAATCTGATGATGTTCCTCAGATACCACAACAAAAGTCAAAATATAGTGCTTTCTATAGTTGCCTACCGTGCCTGCGATAGGAGCTTTCCAAGCAAGGTCTTTTGTAAAGATTGCATTCCAACATGAGGACCTCAATATATTTTAATATCTCCAGTGATTAGTTATCCCTCATTCTTTTAGGGATGTAAATAATCTTTTCCCTGTATGTGAGCCCTGTAATACGTGGGGTAATGGGTTGGGAAGAAAGGAGTCCTATTTTGCCTGGGTTCAGGACAGGTAGAGAGTGGTCTTCAGATTATCTGAAATAGCTATAGCACTTAAGACTTATATACCACTTCACAGCGCTTTGCAGCCCTCTCTAAGCGGTTTAGAGTCAGCATATTGCCCCCAACAATCTGGATCCTCATTTTACCGACCTCGGAAGGATGAAAGGTTGTGTCACCCTTGACTCAGTGAGAATCAAACTGCTGGCAGTTGGCAGAATTAGCCTGCAATATTGCATTCTAACCACTGCACCGCCATGGGCTCTTACTTGAATGACAGAATAGACAAGATATATATACTTACTTTCTGACTTTTGCAGCTTTTTGTTTCTGAAACAAAGAGGATTAATTCACCAGTTATCTTTCTCTATTTTTAAATTATTTTTAGCCAAATAAAACAAATCTGTTTTTTAAAACAACAATAACAAAAAATAAAACTTCACTGACTGCACTTCAGGGTTGGAAAGCTGTAAATCAAGAGTACATACTTACAGGACTATTGAAGGACAGAGGCTATAGGGTGAAAAAAAAAGAAGAAAATGCAAGCTGAATTTAGTTCTGTAAATAAAATGGGACAACTTAAGAATGCAAAGCAGTATGGCTGCCCCAATGGGCAGAAAAGAGGAGGAAAATTTTCTCCTGAGGATCTGCTGGTCTAAATCGGGCAGTGGCCGAAACTCAAAGACCCCCCTTTTTGGAGTTCTATTTTTCAGACCTCCTACAGGTAGATTTTTCTTTCTGCATACTATATCTCCTTCCCACCCCTGAAACTTTGTGGATTTGGGAACTTATGCATATTCTCACTTCAGCCCTGGGAGCTGAAACTATTAGGCTTCATTATCTCATGGGGTAGCCCATGAGATAATGAAGCACTCCAAAATGAATCTGTTGCTTTTCTTGCATCTTTTGATGGCAGAAGACATGTGTGACAGAATACAAGCTGTTGTTCAGGAAAAGGTAGAGATGTGCATGATGTCAGATACATAGTTGTGACAGTTGCAGAGAATGATTTTGGAGTTGAAAGAAGGAGGTGTCAGCATGCTCAGAGGAACACATCAGATTTACAGGGTCGGCAAAATAATTAGGTTAAAAGAAAAACCCTAATGAGCAAAACAGCTCTTAGCAGCAGTAAAATAGAACTAAACATGAGCAGTAGGATAAGATGCTGACTGTCTGCAGGAAAAACAAAATGGCTGGGTGTGAGAATGTAATGCAGTGTACAATATTCTGAAGAGTCTTGGCAGCTTGGTGGAACTTTAAAAGAAGAAAAGCGTTTTGATGGGGATCACATACTGTGCTGTCAAAATATGGTTTCTTGATTGTGGCGTAGTGTGTTATATAAATCTAGGTAGTGCTGTTTATGACTTAATATACATTTAAACCCTAATTGTGGCTTACCGAACCATGATTTAGCATGACATATCAACCCAGTCTTTGTTGCAAATCCCCCTTAGGCAGTAATACTCATTTTTCCCTCACATAAGAACACTTTCAGATTCTATGGGACAATCTCAAAACTACAACACCAGAGTATTTCTGATGCAGCTAGCTTCTGTTTAGTCACGTCAAAAAACTGGTCAGGCAAACTTCAACAATGATAATGGCTCAATAGAGCCAACTAGGAAAAATACAGTAGTAAAATGCTAAAAAGAATTTGCTGATGCTGATGCAAAAGTGGGCTATCTTTTCCTATTCCATTTAAAAATGTGGCTGGTTTTGGATTATGTGACAAAGAAACTGTTGGCTGGTGATCTGGGAGTTGAAGGCCAATATACCTGAAGGTCATCTAGTTGCAAATGGTTTTGAAGAAGCTCTGTGATGCTCAGCGGCAGTCTGTTGAACACCATAGAGTTCAGGTGAGTTCTCTTCATGCTGTGCTTATGAAAACCCAGCAGGAGACCAGTCTTTGCTGGAAATTCACTACTCAACCTTTTAGTTTGCCAAGGCTTTTTTTTTTAATCATGTCTGAAATTGTTAAGCACCTCAGAACAAGTTGATCTTCACGTCTAAATTTTAATCATGGTTAATCCAATATTGTATTACATTTGGGAGAAGAGATGCTGTTCACCTTCATTTTAAATCCAGCAATTTCTATCCCAAAGTGAGTTTTGAAGTTGCTAAGCTTCGTAAGAAAGTAAGTCAAAATGAGTACATAAAGGATTGTTAAAGAAGGTAACTTTCTAATTCCAGTAACCTTTTCTCCTTCCACCAAATTTATCCAGTTTACTCTTGTCACATTTGAAAATCACATCACAGCTTCATTAGACAGCATGTAATGATTTGCATTGGCATTCTCTTTGCAAACTCAGTGTATTTTTCCTAATATAGCAACTTTCTTTTCCCAAGCCTAAATAATTTAATCATCAGTGACTAAATGAGAATTGGCCGGTGTTTTTAAGCACAGATAAAATGCGCGCAGCAGTAAGTTATTTTCGTACTAGCATATTTGTGTATGAGAGGCAGAGATGTAAAAATAAGATTGGAGGACGCGCAGATTTTTCTTTCCAAAAGATTATGCAAACATAACCATATTTGGGAACAATTCTCTTAAGTTATTGCAACAGCAAAAACACAGAACATTTGTATGTAAAGTTCATCTTCCATAACGCATATGAATCTTGAGGCATCAAAAAAGGAATCAGGCTCTATCTTTAAAAATCAAGACCATAAAATGGTTATTTTGTACACTAAAAGTACACCTGCTGGCAAAGCAGCCTAGCAATGGAAAATGACTACATGGGCTGATCCTACTTCGGGCCGATATTTTGCAACGGCCTGTTCCTCTTTGGGATGATGAACCAATACTTCAAGTTCATCATTCTTGCTGGCTTAGATCATTTTGAGGAAGAGATCCTTGGACTCCACACATCCAACTTTTGCCAATAGGAAAGCTGCCTTTTACTGATTTCAGTATCTATCTTTGAGCAAGCAATTATTCCTTATCCTAGCCTGTATCTCTACGCTGGTTGTGCGGATAACATTTATTTTTTGATCCTATTCCATAGTTGGACAAAAGGATGGGTAACATACATGGTTGACTAATCATTATAAAATCAAGCTAAATGTCAGCATTTCCACTGATTTTTAACAGGATTAGTTTTCATTTTGCAAATAGATACCATGTAATTATAATTAATTGCTTAGTAGATTCTCCAAATTGTTTCAATCACTAAAAATCACATCATCCATAAACAGGAACCAATTTCTTTAGATAAGTTAACTCACATTTTTGTGATTCTCTCACGATTTTGTGATTTGTGACATTTAGCAAGTTATCATTTCCTAGTCTTGAAGAGGATAGATATACCAATTCCTCAAGATCTTCCTCTATTGCTCTAATAGCCAAATAAAATGGCCTATCTCCCATGGGTAGAAAAGGCTCTGTAGTTCAAATGTTGGGAAACAACAGGATTATAGTCTTTGTGTCTTTGGAAGAGCAGTTAAGACACTACTTGTCCACAGAGCCTTCAGAGATTAAAGGTGGAGTGTAAAACTGCAGTTTTCTTGGCAAGGTTTTTCAGAAGCGATTTGCCCTTGTCCATTTCCTAGGACTGAGAGAGAGGAACTGGTCCAATTGGCTTTCTGCCTAAGGCACTGGAACTCAGGTCTCCTAGTTTCTAGCCTGATGTCTTAACCACTACAGTGAATTGGCTTTATTATGTATTGGTAACACTGAAATAAAATATATAGTCAGGAAAAGAAATCTAAAAACAGTACTTCTGCACATTAGATAAGAACATGAACTCAAGAGCTTGTGTTATGGATGGTCATTACATCAGTACTGTGGGTGGGAGGGGCAGATATGGCGGGAGCAGGGGGCCACATCAGGTTGTGGGAGCACGCGCCCGCTGGCTCCAAGCGGTGGCGCGCTCCGGCCTCCAATGCTCCTCTCGTTCCCCAGGTTGCACAGACCCTCAGGCCCTGGGCCTTCGGCTGATGCTGTGCAACGCCCGGTCCGTGGTAAATAAAGCCCCCCTCATTTGTGATCTTGTTCAGGAGGGGGGAGCGGACCTGGCGGGTATTACGGAGACCTGGTTGGGCCAGGAGGGGGGGGTTCCCCTCGTTGAGATGTGCCCACCCGGTTTCCGCGCATTCCATCAGCCGAGGACACAGGGGAGGGGCGGGGGGGTGGCGGTTGTCATTAGAGAAGGTCTTGGTCCGAGGGAGGTCACTGTTCCTCAGACGGCTGGTTGTGAGTCCCTCCTTGTGAAGTGGGGTCATGGGGTGCAGATGGGTGTGCTGGTTACGTACCTGGCTCCCTGCCACGTGACGGCAGCCCTGCCCGAGCTGCTCAACGTTATAGCCGCGGTGGCGGTTGACACCCCCAGGCTTATGGTCATGGGGGATTTTAACCTGCCATCCGTCGGTGAGGCGTCTGAGGTGGCTCGGGAGTTCATGGCTTCCATGACGGCCATGGACCTGACCCAGTTAGTTCATGGCCCTACTCACACGGGGGGAAACACGCTAGACCTGGTTTTTGTCTCTGGTCAGTGGTTGAGTGATCTTGAGATAGGGGATATAGTGATCGAGCCCTTGTCATGGTCAGATCACTCCCTCCTTCGCTTTGACCTTCGAACCGCCGCACCCCGCCGCAGGGAGGCGGAACCACTGAGGTGGTACCGCCCCAGGCGCCTGATGGATCCTGATAGGTTCCAGACGGAGCTTGGGCCATTTCCTGAGGCTCTGGCACACGGCTCGACTGAGGAGCTGGTGGCCGCCTGGGATAGGGCGGCCGCTGGAGCTTTGGATCGGGTCGTGCCTTTGCGGCCTCTGACCCGGCGTCGATCTCGCCTGGCTCCTTGGTTCACCGAGGAGCTGAGGGAGATGAAGCGCCGGAAAAGACGCCTGGAGAGTGGTTGGAGGGCCAGCCATTCTGAATCTGACCGAACACTGGTAAGGTCTCATATTAGGACCTACCTGGTGGCGATAAAAGTGGCGAAGTATAACTATTTTGCCACTCTTATTGCGTCATCAGATAATTGCCCGGCTGCCCTGTTTAGGGTGACCCGCTCCCTGCTCCACCAGGAAGCGCGGGAGGACCCCTTGGAGGGTAGAGCCGAGGATTTTGTACAGTATCTGTATGACAAAATCGCTCAGATTCGGGAACATCTGGACTCTGACTGGGTAGATTCAGCGGGGAGGACAGAGGCAGGTCTTGTGAGTATTATCTGGGAAGAGTTTGATTCTGTGACGCCCGAAGACGTGGACAGGATACTGGGCAGACTGAGCGCAGCCACATGTTTACTGGACCCGTGTCCCTCCTGGTTGGTGCTGGCCTCTCGGGAGGTTACACGAGGCTGGCTCCAGGGGATTATAAATGCTTCCTTGAGTGAGGGTGTCTTCCCTGCCGCCTTGAAAGAGGCGGTGGTGAGGCCTCTCCTCAAGAAACCTTCCCTGGACCCGGCAGTGTTGGCAAATTATCGTCCAGTCTCCAACCTTCGCTTCATTGCGAAGGTTGTTGAGAGTGTGGTAGCGCGACAGCTCCCCCAGTACCTGGATGAATCGTCGTATCTGGATCCGTTCCAGTCGGGCTTCAGGCCTGGGTACAGCACGGAAACGGCATTGGTCGCGTTGGTTGATGATCTCTGGAGGGCTCGGGACAGGGGTTGTTCCTCTGTCCTGGTCCTATTAGACCTCTCAGCGGCTTTTGATACCATCGACCATGGTATCATGCTGCACCGGCTAGAGGAGTTAGGGGTGGGGGGCACCGTCCTACGGTGGTTCTCCTCCTTTCTCTCTGACCGGTCGCAGTCTGTGTTGACAGGGGGGCAGAGGTCGACCCCGAGGCCCCTTGTATGTGGGGTGCCACAAGGGTCGGTCCTCTCGCCCCTTCTGTTCAACATTTATGTGAAGCCGCTGGGTGAGATCATCCGTGGTTTCGGGGTGAAGTACCACCAGTACGCTGACGATACTCAGCTGTACATCTCCACCCCGGACCACCCCAATGATGCCCTTGAAGTGATGTCCCGGTGCCTGGAGGCCGTGCGGATCTGGATGGGGAGAAACAGACTCAGGCTCAACCCATCCAAGACCGAGTGGCTGTGGTTTCCGACATCCCGATATAGTCAGTTGGCGCCATCACTGACTATTGGGGCCGAGTCATTGCCCCCCACGGAGAGGGCTCGCAACTTGGGTGTCCTCCTGGACTCACGGCTGTCTTTAGAAGAGCATATGACGGCCGTGGCCAGGGGGACTTTTTATCAGGTCCGCCTGATTCGCCAGTTGCGTCCCTTTCTGGATCGGGACTCGTTAAAAACGGTCACTCATGCTCTTGTCACTTCCCGCTTGGACTACTGCAATGCTCTCTACATGGGGCTCCCCTTGAGGAGCACCCGGAGGCTCCAGCTGGTCCAGAATGCGGCCGCGCGGGTGGTTATGGGAGCGACGTGGCGCTCCCATGTGACCCCCCTCCTGCGCGAGCTGCACTGGCTCCCGGTGGTCTTCCGGGTGCGCTTCAAGGTTTTGGTTACCACCTTTAGAGCGCTCCATGGCATCGGACCGGGGTATCTACGAGACCGCCTTCTGCTACCAATAGCCTCTCACCGACCAGTACGCTCCCATAGAGAGGGGCTCCTCAGGGTGCCGTCGGCCAAACAGTGTCGACTGGCGGCCCCCAGGGGGAGAGCCTTCTCTGTGGGGGCACCTACCATCTGGAACGAGCTCCCCCCAGAGATACGGAAGATCCCGGACCTGCGCACGTTTCGCCGTGCTCTCAAAACTTTTCTATTTCAACAAGCTGGCCTGGCCTAACTCCCCTCTTTTAAATTCTTAAATTTTAAATTTTTTAATTCGTGATTTTATAAATTGGGTGTTTTAATCTGTGTTTCGGCCGAAATATTTAATAATTTTAAGGGATTTTTAATATTTGTATTCTCTGTATTTTATCTTGGCTGTTCACCGCCCTGAGTCCTTCGGGAGTAGGGCGGTATAGAAATTTGATTAATAAATAATAAATAAATAAATAAATATAGAGTTTGCTGAAAAACCTCTATTCTAGCTATTTGTACTATTTGTACCATAATTGTGTATTGTACTTCAGTTGGCTGCAGATTAATAAATAACATTATGTGAAGAGTTCACTGTGCCTTGGGTATATAGATCAGGCTACTTCTATCTTTATCTATTATCCAAACCCTGTATGTTGGCAGGGAAAATTGTTTTCACGATCCTGTGTAAAAGTTACAATGTTCGGGCTCCTTCCTAAGCTGAAGCATATTTGACTTTTAAGAGATTGTGTAAGACAGAGATCTTTTTTGAGTGGCCTGAGGCAATTTGTTCTCAATTGGTCTCCATTTTTAGAAATAAGATTGGCAGGTAATCAAGAGAAATGTGTAGCATATATTAATTAGTGATACTTATAAATTCGGCATATAATAAATAGAGTTTCTGATGACACATTTATCTCTGCCTTAGGTATCAGGTGTGTGATGGCGGCTACACTCTGTCTTGTGGGTATTAATGCATTCTTCCAAAATCGCTACTGATGTCTTACCTTCATCTTCCAAATTGCAGTGTGGTCGGTAAGTCAACATCTATTGCAATTATAAAAATACGCTTTATCTTGAATGAATCAAAAATCTTTTCATATCTCTTCAATGTTGGAAACAGGCTTCTACACTAATACAGTATGTAGCTCAGTGGTGGGTTGCTACTGATTTGCCCCAGATCGGATGAACCGGTGGCGACAGCGGGAGGCTCTGCCCAGCTGCTTGGACATCTCTGCGTATGAGCGAACCGGTAGCGGCCAAAATTGAAACCCACTACTGATGTAGCTTTAGATCTTTGTTTCATAAATAGGTGGACAGGTATTTTTTTACTCAATTGTTTATTTAGGTTCTCTATCTAGTTTTAGGGCTTGTATGAACAGCAGATTGTGTTTTAGATGATATTTATGCAGAAATATTGAAAATTCAAAAGGGTTCACAAACTTTCAAGCACCACTGTATTCCATCAGCCATAGTAAGGGTCAATAAGGTTATTATTATTATTATTTTGCTATTGTGCTTATACATTAAAGCAGTACACATTATAGTCCTAGACTGTGGCTTAATTTACTGCATTTTCATGGTAAGTACTCCAGCAGTTTAACATGGAAGTATAAACCACCTGCTTACCTCCATTCAATATCCAGTTCTTTAGTATTAGCCTTCGCTATCTCTTCCCATTTTGGCATCCACTATATTCTAATTGTCATTCTCTGAATTTCCCTTTAACAATGCCCTCCAGGTTTGGGAAGACTGTTCTCGGCTTTCTGGCCATTTGGGAGCTTTGATTGTGTTGTTGTTTTCTCATAAGCATGTCTTTTCTTTTTTACAGGCTTAAAAAAAAAAACCTCACACAAGCGTGGATTCCTTCAAGACTTTGCCACAGCCTCTATCACACATCTTCTTAAAAATAAAATAGAAATATTGAATAATAATGATAAAAATGCCAAATCCAGTCTAAACATCTGGTTGACTATGTGATGAACCATAATAATAATAATATGTTCCTCTTCTACATTGTATAAAAGTTTAAATTCTATAAGCATGAATGAATTTGTTTGAAAAAATTATTTTCAAGCAGAGCAGCAAAGAGAATAACTATTTTTTATACCAAGCATTTAAAGTAAGAGGACTGTACCTTGGGTGGAAGAACTGATTACTGTATATGTTTGATTTTTAAATATGTATAATCTCTTTTCCTACCCTTTTAAGATGCATGTTCAAGGCATGTTTTTAAATCTGGTTCAGATTTTTTAAAAAGTGTATTGTTTGAAATGCACAGACATTTTGGTTATCAAGTTTTGGAGCCTGAGATGGTGTGTTTTAAATATATGAAGTGTATTCCTGTAATAGTTATTTTCATGTTTCGCCTAATTGTGCCAAATTATTGAGCAAGACAATCAGCAATATAATAGCTTTTTCATGATTGTAACAGTTGATGTGCTGTACATTAGCGGTGCCTGATCGCTAGTTCCTGCTGTATTTTTTCCCCTCTATATTTGGATACGCAATTGTGTGGGAAGAAGTAGTACACTGTAGAAAGTAGAAAGGCAATTTCTATTATGAATGAAAATGTGCAGTCATAATTATGAACATTTCTGCAACTGTGTCTATCATAGTATACTTCTCTTCAGACAAATATATCTCATGCAGTTGTGTGTATTATTTGGAAAAGGAAAAAGAAAAAAAAACCCTGGTATTTATGAGAACCCATCCTGGATGACCAAGCTGCCCAGGAAGTTATGTACTCTAAATCAAGTTTGTAGCATCTACTTTTATAACAACTTATACACTGTGTGTGTATGTGTGTGTATCTTTGGAAGGTAGTTTAGTTTTGTGATTTTGTTCCAGATATAAAGCGAACTGGTTCTGGTCATTTATTGTTAATCATATTTTTGGGGAAGGTAAGGGGTGACTGGACCATGGATCAGAAAATTGAACTTCAATTGTTGATCCCAGCACCTCATGCCTATGAAAAACGCCAAAGGTTTTTGCTGAATCCGATTCTAATGAAATGGCCAACCTTGGGATATTTGGCTTGCCAGCTATTCTTGATTTTTCCTAGGTGATCTCAGTAGCAGGCGTATGTAGTCAGCCCCAAATCTATGCACTGATGCCAGATGGTGGTTTTTGAGGTGGCAGCAGTAGCAGCCCCATGTAAAGGATTGCTCTCATGGTCAGAATTCCCTGCTGGGGAGAAATCTTCAGGTGCCCACTTTTAAATAGCTATTCAACTTCACCTACTGTATGTCTGTGCTCTTGGGGGAAAAAGAGGACAATAGATAAAGCTGCCTTTCTAGAAACAGAGCAATACTGGGAATGATTTCAGGCACAGCTTGCCAAGGAAAAGCTACTTCAAACTTTCCACTTTCTTGAAGAGGTTTATCTTTAGGAGCCAGATAACAGCTGCAGCCTGTAGCCATATGACATTACCCAGTCTAGGTGGACTTTAGTGCTACAATGGGACTCTGGAAAAATCGTGTTTTAATTTTTATTTTTTTGAAAAAAAGAGTTGTTTTCTTTCTATTGAAGAGAACTCTCCCACAGATCAGCTTTAGCTCAGGTGTGACTCACAAATTCACCTGTAGCTAAAGGGTGCACCTCTTAGAAGCTAATGACCTGAATTACTGAATTTTTAAAAATCTGCTTCCTGTTTCCACTTTACATGAATAAGTGGTCTTTTGAATTGATTAGGGCTTGCTTCTGAGTGCACAAGATTGCACCTGCTGTTCTTTGGACAGCTTGGAATGCAACTACCTAGGGCAGAAGAGTTCTTGGATCAATCATTCGCATAAAATTATTCTTCCCTCTATTGCTGAAGACTGCCAATACCAGAAATCCCTAACTGTTCTCCTTCCAGCTGCTAGCCCAGAGATTTTACAATAGTGACAAGTCTGACTTTGCTGGCCTGCTTAGTAGGGAAGCCAATAGGGTTAGTAGGATCAAATTTTCATGAAGCAGCTTCTCTGCCAGGATTATTATCAATCACCTATCCTGAAATAAGATACATTATTTTGTAAGAAATATAAATTATATGTCAAAATATAAAAGGCTTTAAGAATGCATACTTGCAAGAGGGTTGCTTGGCTTGTTCTCTGGATGTGATGCAGCTGCTACTCCTGAGAGTTGTACTCTGAACACATCAGAAGAAACCCAAGTTGGAACTGAAAAATACCCATTACTAAACAAACAATATGGATAAATTGAACAAATTTAAAATGTAACTGTAGGTGGTTAAACAACCCTAAAAAGATTTGTGCTGGATTGTTTCATAAAACACTTGACTTTTCTCTACGGCCTTTTACGGGCAGTGACTGAATTATACAATGCTTCCAATTTGTCTATGATTTTTTTTAAAGAAAAAAAGTTGTTAAAAGATACTTTTCTATTATAATTTTCTAAAAATAAAAGCAATGAATAAAATAAAAATATGGTCTATGCTAGCATGTCTGTTTATTTACTTGTATCCATTTGAGGAAATCAGAATCTCTGACAATCAGTGATAATACTTAATTTTAATACCTTACCCCCAAACTCAGTTTTCATTTATACTTCCCTCGTCAATAGTTAATTGGAAAAACCTGAACATGTTTCAATAGTAGCTACAAGTCAGTGTTGGCACAGGTACCTCCTAAAGGTTACCCCAGATTCTGAGACTCATGACAGGTATAGTCTCCACAAATCACACAACTCACCCTCTCAGAACTTGTCCTTAACCTTCTCCTCCCAAATCCTGCAACTTACTCCTACAGAATAAAATCATAGAAAATAAGAAAACCATCAGAAAAAAAAGGAAAAAAACCCATCTTCTCTGTTAGGAGATTGAGAGAAGTTCAAATAGGAGAGGCTAAGAAAAACCACTCCAAAATCCCATCTTCAATTTTAAAAGGACTTCTTCCTTATAGCACCCTCCCAATGCTAAATACCCCATCCTATTGACCATGGCAAAAAACTGGGTAGAAGCCTTGCCCCAAATCAACTCGAGAGGATTTGAAGAAGCTTCTTGAATGAGAAGCGAAACATTTTTAAGGAAAAACAAAGAAAGTCCAGTTGCCTTTTGAAAAAGCACCTTTGGGACAACCATGACTTGAATGGCTGAGAATCTTCATAGACATACAATTTGAGAGAATCTACTATATTAGTTCCCAAGCTAGACATTTGTAATGAGTCACTGATCTCCTGCACTCAACAAGTTAAGAGCACAAGCTTATGCAGATGTTATATAAAATGTTAAATGCAGCATGGGCATGCATATGCACTGAAGAAGATCAACAATACAAGAATAATTGTTTTACAAATGATAACAAATGAGAATGACTACATATGGTATCCTTCATAATGTGAAATCATTACAGACACATTCTTAGAAAGAACACATCGTAGCTTTGATACTAAACTGAGCTAGAACCTATTCTTCCAATTGACTGGTCCTGCATTTATTATGGAAGAGGGAAGAGATAAGGAGGCATGGCATGGATCCTCAAAACCTGCCTTTCAAGACAAGGACTGTATTATCAATTAATCACTACCAGACACAGAAATGAAATTCCATGCTTAAGGATGCTACAGGAAAGAGAAAAAGGGCACCTACAGATGAAAAAACATCTGAATGTACACAAGTAGCTCTCAACCTTTTGAGCTTTCAACCTCAACCAACTCACCACCTTTTGTTTAATGACCGTTCAAAGTTACAGTGGCACTGAAGAGAGATTTGACTGTTTTTCACACTTAGGACCTTTGCAGCATCCCCATGGTTTACATGATCAAAATTTGGGTGATTGGCAACTGGCTCATATTTATGACAGTTGCAGTGTTCTGGGATCATGTGATCACTTTCCCAACCTTCTGACAAGTGAAGTCAACAGGGAAGCCAGATTCATTTAACTACTATGTTACTAACTTAACATCTGCCATGATTCACTTAACAACTGTGGCAAGAAAGATCGTAACATGGGGCAAAACTACTTGAATAACTGTGTCGCTTAGCAAAAGAAATTTTGGGCTCAGTTGTGATTATAAAACGAGGGCTACTTGTACATGTATAGTATATCAGTAAGCATAAATATAATGGATTCATCCTGAGTTCCTATTCAAATCTCCATGCAGATTATTTGCTTCTTTCTTGTATGCAAATAGTTGTGTAACATTTGTGGGTTAGTTTATAAGGCCCACAGACCATTTTCAGTTCAGTACAATTTATAGAAGTTTGGCCAGGTGAAGAAACTGAGGTCCAGTTGCTGGAAAAACTCTTTCTTTTATATATGTCCCCCATATTTCAAGCAAAGTGACTGAAGTATTGTAGAAATAATTAACAACAGGACTTTCCAATATCTGAATTGTAAAACCAAGATTTAATCGTCTTCTACCTGACACTGTAATAGAAAAAGGTATTAAAGTTCCTGATGGTGAAATACCTACATTTATTTTAACCAAGCCAAGCATATGCCTCTGCTGGTCTCTGAGCAGTAGGATAGTAAAAGATTCATGCCAACACATTTGCAACTACCTGACACCAAGTCTCAAGATGGAAACAACAATGTTACCACTATGACTTTGTGATTATTGCTATTTTCAAATCTTTTTCCATCATCAGTCCTGAAAGCCTGGCATTCTCTCGTGTCCTCTCACCAAGTTCTTTGTGCTACAGAAAGTGACAGGAAGAGCCAAATGGGCATTGTTTACACATTTTCTCCAAATTCACTTGCTTTTCTCTATTCTCTAGAAGCTTGGAAGGACTATGATGAATATATCAAATGCATTACAAACAGCTTTATACCAGTGCTCTCTAGCAAACATACAAAATCTTGCTACAGTAGTTCTTCCTTTACATGACTTACTTCATAAAATTATAATTATTAGCAGAAGAAATTAAATTACTAATTTGCTCAGTAACAGCTAACAGATCTGTATTTTTACCACCAAACTAATCCAATTAAAAAATTACGCTCTCTTTTTATGAAGCCAAGCTTTTTTCAGTAAGGCTATCTATGCTCAAGCCGCATTCTTCCAGTTTCCTTGCTCAGTTTAATCTTTAAAGCCAAAAGAAAATTCATACTTAAATTTCCTCTCCATATTTAATAAGATTCGCTTACTGCCTGATTAATAATATCATTATCAATTACTAAAACTATTTCTACCGTAGCCATTTTTTGTTTCATTATCTTTCACTTCTCTAGAACAAGGTATAAACACACAATTTGTTCATATTAAATCAATTACCCATATTAAATGAATTATACATTCCAATAATTGGGAAGAAACATATTCTTACCTTCACTTCCCCCAACTCATGCTCTTTTTTCTCTTTCATCACAGCCAGCAGTCATATAATGAAAGGTCACTCTATCACTACATATGAAGAAGCAGGCTTGTCTCAATTTTTTTTTAATTCTAAAGTAACTCACAAACAATACAAATACACTTGTGTGCAAAAGTTAGGCACCCTTGGTCAAATTGTACACTTCAATAAATCCTTAAGCAAACAGAAAATGGCAAAATTTCTACATGATACAAAACTACACACAACAGTGTTCTACAAATTTCAATGCATACTTTACAATTTACGTGCAGTTATTTACAGATTCAAGATAAGAAGATACACAGGGGCAGAGGTTTGGATACGCTTTCAGGCAGTACTTTGTAATACCTCCTTTGGCAGACATTTTCTGTAGCCAGCTGAGTTACTGTAGCTTTGCTTTTGGAATTTATTCTCACTCTTCATTAATAGAACTCTTCCAACTCAGAAACATTCTGAGACTTCTTGGCCTGCATTGTACTTTGGGATCTCCCCACCGATTTTCAATAACAACTAGGAACTGGGAAGACCATTGCAAATCCTATGTTTTCTTGTAACAGTTTCATGATTTATTTGGAGGTATATTTTAGCTCAAGAATTCCTGACATAAATGGAATGTTAACACAATTTAGAAGATGTTGCATGGGCACCGTGATGTAACTGGTACCTGCAGAAACAACCAACTGAAATAGTCTTGAAAATTTGAATGGAAACTTCAGGATAATACAAGAAATGTCATTTTGTAGAAAAAAAATGAGTATAAAAAAAAGAGTTTACATTTCTAAATAAAGGCTTCATCTTAAACTATTACCTAAAATAATATCTGTCTACATGGAGTGTCACTTTTTAGCTGCTATTTAGTCAAAAAGCATGGAAAACATGTAAAAAAATCTTCAACTTTTTTGAATGATTTTATTATAAACATGTTTTCTTGACAACAAAAATATCACATTTATCTAGGTTAGCCCATCTGAATAAAATTCCCATAGAATGCCAAAAAATTCTTCAAAGAAATTTCAACTGATGAACATGAACCTCAGCATTACATGCTAAATATATTTCACCCCCAATATCAGAAGTCTACTGATAATGTATGGCTCTGATCCAAGTTTATATTAACCAGTAAAGTAAATGTTATGATGAATAGTTTATTGTTGATCCCAAAAGTTGTTACTTTTCATCTGCTACAGAAATGGAAGAGGAAAGAACCACATCAGATATACAAAAGACATCTGTGTCCTAAGCATCCACATCAACATAACAGTTCAGTTCAGGAGACCAATTTATTTGCCAGGAACTACATCGGAATAATCCTTCAATACACCAGCTAAATGATCATTGTGAGTTTTGAACCTCCGTTTCTTCTGAGATGCTGGCTTCTTCCTCTTCTGGATAGGAACCTAAAAGAAGAAATATAGTCACATTCATGAGAGCCCTGTTTCCCGAAGGATTTTCACAGGTAAGGATCCCATAATACAGCCTTCTCAATTGTAGTCCCCCACCTGTGGAATATCTTGCTCCCCACTATTCCTATGATGAGCTGCCACAGAGAGGGGAACACTGGCTCACGGAAAGAGTGCTGGAAAGGAATCTTTGTTTTGGAGTCTGCCTCTTTGGACTCTTTCAATTATGATTAATAGAGTGTTATTGTTTTTTGTTAATTTTGTTCAAACCAAATCACAATTTGATTATGGCCAGCTGCCAGCAAGAAAAAATAAACATACTCTAAATTTCAAAATGCATCATCTGTTGCATTCTTTAAGTTAGATAATGAAACTGATATATTGTAAGTGATTTGAAAATTCCCGTTGGTTAATAGAAAGGCTGCATAATAATCATCTGACCTTCAGGAGAGATTAAATTTTGACCCAAAGCCAAATAAAGTCTAAATGCAAAAGCATGTGTAATCATTTACATAATCTTTCTCCTGTTGCTTTTTAAAAATTTTGGTTCCTGCTGTCACAGCTGCTCTGCTTGGGAGTAGACAGCATAGAAATATCAGAAATAAACAATGAAACCTATTTGAGCCTTTAGAAAATTGTACATAACCCCCTTTTAAATAAGTAGAACATAAACTATATAGGTAAACCATCCACTAATACACAGGTGTTTGATCCAGAAATAATTGGAAATTACCCAATATCAG